TGCGTGTCCACCCCACACCAGATGTGATCATCCTTGATAGAGTCAATGCTTCTCGGCCCTAAATTAAAATCAACCAGGGAGCTGCTGGTGTAGCTCAGGACCCATGTTCTGAGCAAGATGTGTGTGTGTGTGTGTGTGTGTGTGTGTGTGTGTGTGTGTGTGTGTGTGTGTGTATATCCATGTGTGTGAATGAGGGTACACCTACGAATACCATGGCACACCTACGAATACCATGGCACACTTGAGACGGTCAGAAGACAACCTGGGGTATCAGTCCTTGCTTTCCACCTTGTTTGAGACAGAGTTGCTAGTTTGTTTTTGTTTTGTTTTGTTTTTTTGCAACTTACACCAGGCTAGCTGGTCTGTGAGATTCCAGGGATCCTCCACCTCTCTCCCACTTCCCCATAGGAATTCTGGGATTGCTCCATCAGGTTTTACATAGGTTCTAGGGCTTTGCAGGTCCTCATGCTTGTGTGGCCAGCATTTTTACCCACCCAGCCATCTTCCCAGCCCCTGGAGGAAATCAGGAAATTGTGGTAACAATGTTACTACAGACAAGCATCATATAAATTTCACGGTCTTCACCACTGTAAAGTGGTGTCAAGCACGACACTGCCGTGCAACCACCCCCAGCATGCATCTTCAGAACTTTTTTCTAGGCCAAAATTGATCTTCTATGCTCAGGAAATAATTCCTATACCCTCCTACCCAGCTCCGGCAACATAGAGTGGACCTCCTGCCTCTTAAAACGACTACTCGAAGCTCTCCAGGTAAGTGGAATCACACAACATTTGTCCTTCTGTTACTCGCTTATTTCACTTAACATGATACCTTTGGTACTTAGGATGCCGCATGCATCACACTTTCCTGCTCACTTGAAGCTGAATAATATTCTACTGGGAGTATATACATTTTATTTATCTATTCATTTACCAGTGGACATGGATTGCTTCTTCTTCTTTTCTTCTTCTTCTTCTTCTTCTTCTTCTTCTTCTTCTTCTTCTTCTTCTTCT